TTATGAGTATTTGATATGCTGAATTTGTGGAGTAGGTTCCATCTTTGCTGTGAGCCCATTCCAAAAGGTCTGGATTGCCTCTTATGAGTCTTGTGTCTTGTATGTCCTTTTGTAGATCTCCTACTTGTTGAGTTTCCCAACTGATAAGGTTTCGTCTCCATTGAAGGTTCCATTCCCATTTACCATTAAGCCATTCTCCCATTTGAGGAATTTTGTTATCCTTCCCTGTAGATAGAGAGTAAAGTCTAGGATATTTGTTAGCAAGGCACCCTTCCCCTCTCCAGTTATCCCACCAAAAATTAGTACTAACCCCTTCACCTACTTTTAATCTAAAGCCATCAGCTACCCATCCCCTATTTTCCCCTGCTATTGTATTTATGCTACAGATGTCCCTCCACCATTTTGTTCCACTGTTGCTCTCCTCTCTCAACCAGTAATAGCTAGGTTCCCCCACCTTCCCATATTTTTCAAAAATGATTTTTTTCCATAGCCCTCTTTCCTCCGACACTAATCTCCCCCACCATTTTCCTAAGAGAGCCATATTGAACTTCCTAAGGTCTTTTACTCCCAGACCACCTTTCTTCTTATCCTTACACACCACTTCCCATTTAACCCAATTGATCTTCTTACCCCCTTCAGTCCCACCCCATAAAAACCGTCTACGAATTTGATCAAGGAGCAAAATCGTACCTTTGGGTATCAAGTATACCAACATCCAGAAGACCGGGAGACTATCGAGCACTGAGTTAATAAGAGTAATGCGACCTTCGAGAAAGAGAAACCGACCCTTCCATTTGGATAATTTACTACTGAAAACATCTATCAACGATTTCCAGAAGGCAATCTTCCTGCATCGTCCCCCAATCAGGATGCCTAAGTATTTAAAGGGGAATGATCCCTTTTTGCAACACAGCACCCATGACATTTTTTCTATCCATTCTTCCTCCACACAAATGCCAATTAAATGGCTCTTATTGAAGTTGATCTTTACTCCCGACACCAATTTGAAAGATCTTAAGATTGCCTTCATTGCCTATACATTTTCCTCCGTTGCTGAACCAAACAGAATAGTATCATCTGCATACTACAAGTGTGAGACTTTGAAGCCTCCTACTTCGACCTTTACTCTTTGCAATTGGTCTTTTTGAACTGCTGTTGAAACCAGGCCATTCAACCCCTCTGTAATGATTAGAAATAAGAAATGGGATAGTGGATCTCCCTACCTTAAACCTCGAGATACTGAGAATTGACTTGTTGGGCTTCCATTAACCAAGACTGAAACCAGAGTAGTTCTTAAACACTCTTGTATCAAATTCCTCCATTTTGCACTAAAACCCATCCTCTGCATCATATAATCCAGGAAATCCCAGCACACCTTATCGTAGGCCTTTTCAAAGTCTATCTTGAACAAGAAGGCCTTTGTCTTCTTCTTTTTTGCTTCCTCTACCACCTCATTTGCAATTACTACTCCATCCATTAGCTGCCTTCCCCTTAAGAATGCCATCTGCTGCTCGCCAATTACCGTATCCAGAACCTTTTTGAGGCGGTTGGCTAATATCTTTGCAAGAATTTTATACACCACTCCAATGAGGGATATAGATCTATACTCCTCAATCTTTTGGGGATTATCAACCTTCGATACTAGGGAAATGAAAGAGGTATTTAACCCCTTCACCAACTTGCTTTTTTCTTAGAATTCTTGAAGGAATTGAATCACATCTTCCTTGATAACCTCCCACTGATCTTTTACAAACTTGAAGTTGAAACCGTCTGGACCTGGTGCTTTTGAGCTGTCACAGTCCCTTATAGCTTCTTTGATCTCCTATTCATAAAAAGGAGCAATTAATGTTTCATTGTCATCCTGAGAGATTTGATGGAAAACCACCCCATCAAGTCTTGGTCTTTCTTGCTTTTCTTCCTTGTATAATTGTTCAAAAAAGGAGGAAATCTCCTCTTTCATTTGTCTCACTTCCACAATCTGGGCTCCATTTACTTGAACACTATTTATCTCATTCCTCCTCTATCTCCTTTTAACACAGTTATGGAAAAATCTTGTGTTGGCATCGCCCAGCATCAGCCATGTTTTCCTCGATTTTTGTTGCAACATGCTTTCTCTGTGCTTGATGCTATCCCACAGAACTAAGAAGGCTTCCCTTCTTTTTTTGATTTCCTCTTCCGAGAGTTGGACCGCTTCTCCTTTCAAATCAATTTGGGCGATTTCTGTAGTGGCATTGTTTATTTTGCGATCAGTCTCAGGAACAAATTCCTTGCTCCATTTTCTTAGGGCCTCCTTAGTCATCTTCAGCTTTTCTTTTATTCTGTATCCCGCCCAGCCTTGAATATCTACCTTACTCCAAGTTTCTTTTATCAGCTCTCTGCAACCTTCTTGCTCCAGCCATGTATCAAAGAATTTGAATGGTTTAGGCCCCCAATCAACTTCTTGTTGTTTTAGCAAAATTGGACAATGGTCGAATACTATCCTATTAAGTCCCCACTGCTTGGCATCACCCCATTTAGTCAACCATCCTTCCGATAGCAGGAACCTGTCAGTTCTGCTCATAGAATGACCACTAGCCTATACCCATGTGAATTTTCTCCCTACTAATGGTAAATCAACAAATTCCACATCTCTGATGAAGCTATCAAACTCCCTCATTTCCGCTAATGTTTCTCTACTCCCTCCTCTTTCCCCCACTTTCCTTACAGCATTGAAATCTCCCATAATACACCAATTTCCACCTCTCCCTACTACTAGAGCTTTTAACTCCTCCCATAGAATTCTCTTTTTCCCCAGTTGACATGGGGAGTAGACATTAATAATACTAGCTGGAAACTGTTCAACACCCCAGACACCTTCAACTCCTATGAAGTCTGTCCCCTCCAAGACTCTACCCATTTTAAATTTTTTAGAATTCCAAATGCACAGCATTCCTCTAGACAAACCCTCTGCATCCCTAGCAACCCATTCTAAATCATATGATCCCCATATCATTCTACAAGTACTTCTATCTATCCCTTCCATCTTACTTTCCTGTACTGCTAAAAAATCCACTTTTTCTTTATTTATTAATTCCTTCAGATGCCTTTTCTTCCCAACACCTCCTAGCCCTCTAATATTATAAGACATGAAATTCATGAGGCAACAACACTAACCTTCTTATGCTTGCTCCCTCCCTTAGAGCCTTCCGCTTCTTTTTCTTTTCTATCTCTTTTCTCCATCTCCTCTAAATCCTGAATTACACCTACCTCATCCTCTGCAACCACCCCAATTCTTTTTGCAAAATTCCATAGATCTTCTGCTGTTTTCCTGCTTTATTCCTCTTTCAAGATTCGGTTGCAATTCTTAATCCCGCTATCCCCAACTGAGTATCCCGCCACTGAGTCACTTCCATTTGACAAAAATTCTGGAAAACCCACTGTTCCTGGCTTGCTCTCCTTGGATCTCTCTCTTCCCTTGTTGTTCCGGCTCATCACCCCTGACAGTTGTGCTTTGAGATACACCGAGCGGCATGACTTTGTCCTCTTCTCTCTGTTTTTGTTGACCAGAATCTGGACAAGGTTCCCCTCTGACTCTTTGAAAAATCCTACCTTTGCCCCCTTCAATCCCTTCTGCTTCGGGATCTGTAACTGCCCTTCTTCATGTTTGTGCTCCCACTAAACCGGATCCCCCTCTTTCTTTACCGAGATTACCTCATTAGCCCCCTTCGGTCCCTTCTTCTTCGAAATCTACAGCTGCACTTCCTCTTATACGCGCTCCACTTGAGCAGAGTTCCCCTCATCCTGTGCTTGCTTTGAGATCTGCAGCTGCATTCCTTCATCTTTGCACACCCGCTGAGCAGAATCTCCTACTTTGTTCGGCCCTTCCATCTCGTTGCTGTCTTCGATCCCCTTATCTGCCCTCAACGAGCTGCTATGGGATCTTCGGACATCTTCCAAAGCTTTCATATTTATTATGCTCCCTTTCTTTTTTGCGTTTTTGTTTAGTGGAATGGGCCCCCTCCGTTCTATTGTTCCCATTTTGTTGCAAGCCCATTGCCTCTCTACCAAGCCCTTTACAACATTCTGTTTATGGCCCATATTTCCTTTTGTTTGTGTAGCTTGCTCAACCCATAGCTCATCCCCCGATACTTGGATGGGGTCTGAGCTAGTTTGGTTGTTTGTACTAGCTTCTTTTTCCCTACCTTTCTCATCTAGTACATCCTGAACTTCATTCACTGTTCCTTCATCAATGCTGTCAGCTACTTCTTCTACGGTTTCCCATTCTTTTAGCCGGCATTGGGAACTTCCATCAGCTTTTTCAAATTGTCCCGCTTCAGCGTCTCTTTCTTCTAATTCAAACTCTTCCTCGTTTGCTGAACTGACGGCATGCCTTTTGTCATTTGTACTGTGGCCCACTGTATCACCAACGGCATTTTCTTTTTCCCCGACCCTCTCCCTGTTAGTTCCCCATTCATCGTCTTGCCATTCATCGTCATAATCACTGGCCTCCAACCAGTACTCTTCATGCTCTGACTCACTTTTAAAGCTGGGAAGGAAATCATATCTCAGAGAAAACAAACTGTTAGTCATCTCTTCTTCAGTGAACTTTATACAGAACACCTCCCCATTCACTTTAATCTGCCTTTTGACTGAGATGAGGTCCATTATCTGGGTTGATATAAGGAATCTCGCTATATCAAATCTCCTTTTCTGACTTGTACTATCATCTAGGCATATGAATTTGCCCCATGGAGCTGCCATTGACTCAAAGAACGCAGGACCCCAAGCTTGCAGAGGGGTTCCTTGACATCTAATCCAAACGAACTGTTCTTTTGCCACCATAAGAGGTGACCAGGGTTTAACTTCAGAGAACCATTGTCCCAGCCAATCTGCAGCTCCCTGCACTAAATCCTTTAGTTCTTCTTTGTCCTCGCAATCCATGAGAACCATCTTGCCTCCCATCGCCCTTAGCCGGCATGAGAAATACCCTTCTATATAAAATTTCTCTTGGATGTTGGGTACCATCTCAACTGAACAGGCAATACCAACATAGCAGCCTTGAAGCCACTCATAATCTTCTTCCTTCACATTGTATTCCAATCCTCTCCATTCTGTCCCTCTGTTTTTTACTCTCCATATCTTCCTCTGCTCTATTTTACTATTTTTGGGGATGCTTCCCTTTTTTCCATTCATCGTCTCTGGCCTTATCTGCTTTAGTTGAGACCCTGTTTTACCATATTTCATTTCCTCCTGGCCTTTAACAGCATCTGCATAGGATTTCCCTTCTACTACAATAGACGGGTTTGAGTGTAATCTTTTCTTCTTGGCTACAATCTGCTCCTCCGGGTATTTAGCAACGTTAACCCATATTTTTTGCCCAGCAACCTAGAATTGGTCCAATTTCTCTTCTAGATCCCTCACGTTTCTTACCTCAAGGTACTTGAGGAAACCAAACCTCCTTCTAGATTGACTTCTTCTTTGTGGACTATAGATTGATATCAACCTGTCATATCTACCGAAAGTTGTCCACATGTCATTGTAGTTCCAATCATTTGGAATATTTGAGATAAAAAAGGTTGTAGCCTGTTTATACAATCCTTTGTTGTACCCCCATTCATGGTTGAACTTCTTGCTTCTACTAACCCTCTTGTACCCTGTATTCACTGACCTCCTTTGTCTGCTTCTCCCTTGTGATCTTGTATACTCTCTGCTCAGTGCTGATCGTCCCAATCTTGCATGGTGCCTGTAGCTTGAATCCTTGTTTCTCTCTCTACCTCTCTCTCTCATGGTTTTTTTTTTCTCTCATTCGCGGATTGGAGAGAAATCTATTATGTAGTTTCATTTAAGTTCAGATATTCATTTATGGTCTTCGCAATCTATTTATGCATTTTCATTTCTTGTGCTACAGGAAGATGTTGGGATAATGAGAGAAATGAATCTAAATGCTTATAGATTCTCAATCTCATGGTCCAAAATTTTGCCAAGTAAGAATCTTTCTAATGAGCAAACGACTTGTTGAATACAAAGCTAAATTTGTCATATTATATTACATGTAAATATTGTTGGTTAAATACCTTTTTTGGTCCCTCTACTATAGGAAAAAGCCCCTTTTTAGTCCCTATACCGAAAAAATCCCCTTTTTAGTCCTTACTGTTCACAAATCCGGCCCCTTTTTAGTCCTTCCGTTAAATTTTAGCTGATGTGGCAGGTTAATTAACGGAAAATTTTATTTTTTTTCTTTACTTTAACTACATGGAAAATCCATTCAGCAAAACTCGATGACATGGCCAAATTTTTTGTCTTTAATTACCAATTTACCCTCATCTTCTTCCTCCATCCTCTCATTTCTTCAACCTTTTTTTTCTTTTTTTTCTTACTTTCAGGCGAACCTAGGAGCCTGGGTTCGTCGCGATGCTCGTGGGTTCATCACGATGAACCCAGCTCGTGGGTTCATCACGAACCCACGAGCCTGGGTTCACAACAAACCCACGAACTAATGATTTTAATTTTGAATTGATTATGGAGATCGAACTTGGGAGAGTAGAGACTATTATTTCATATTATTATTGAAAAGCAACAAAAGTGTAAAATCAAGATCCAAACAGGACAGTGTCCAGGAAACCAAAAAATTTTCTAGAAACATCTTATCGCTACCCAGCTTACTATTAGTATTTTCACAGAACATGAAGAACTATTGCATATGAAAGAGCTTCATCAAGTTTTTCTCGTTCAAACATTCAAATCCTTCTGTTTCTAGATCGATTTCGATCTCAAATTTCACAAGTAACTTATGAAACATAACTAAGCTCAAAATATAGCTGAAATCAAATAGAAATCACTCATTCAACTCCTAATTTCACAAATTTCACAAGTAATTTATGAATATAGAGAAGAATAAGCATGCAAATGGGAGAAGTTCAAGCAAAAGCTGAATTCGAGAGAGAAGTACCAACAAAACTTGGAGCAAGCAGTAGGAGATCTGCAACTGCAAATCCCCTTCGATCTCTTCAATCGATTCCTCATCTTCTGTATGTGTCGTTGAGTTTCTAAGTCTCTCTGTACATGGAAATTTTCACGTTTGATTTGAAACTTTCTGAATCTTGCGACAAAGCAATGAACCTAGCTTGGGTTTGCGATGAACCCAGATCATGGGTTCACGATGGCGAACCCAGGCTCGTGGGTTCACGATGGGGAACCCAGGCTCGCGAGCTGGGTTCACGACTCACGATGGCGAAACCCAGGCTCGTGGGTTCACGATGGCGAACCCAGGCTCGTGGGTTCACGATGGTGAACCCAGGCTCGCGAGTTGGGTTCACGACTCACGATGGCGAAACCCAGGCTCGTGGGTTCACGATGGTGAACCCAGGCTCGTGGGTTCACGATGGTGAAACCCAGGCTCGTGGGTTCGTCGTGAACCCAGCTTGTGGGTTCCTCGTGAACCCGCGAGGTGGGTTCCTCTCGAACCCGCGAGTTGGGTTCGTCAAGAACCTCTTGAGCTGGGTTCGCCGTGAACCTCTCAAGCTAGGTACCTCGCGAACCTCTCGAGCTACATTCCTCACGCCTCTTGGGTTTGCCTGGAGGTAAAAGAAAAAAAAAAGAAAAAAAAAGGCTGGAGGAAGGAAAAGCCGGGGAAGAAGATGAGGGTATATCAGTAATTAAAAGTAAAAAATTTAACATGTCATCAATTTTGGCCACATGGATTTTCCACGTAATTTAGTTAAAAGAAAAGAATGACTGTTTCCGTTAATTAACCTGCCACATCAGCTAAAATTTAACGGAAGGACTAAAAAGGGGCCGGATTTGTGAACAGTAAGGACTAAAAAGGGGATTTTTTCGGTACAGGGACTAAAAAAGGGCTTTTTCCTATAGTAGAGGGACCAAAAAGGGTATTTAACCAATATTGTTTTATCTTCAGATGGAAAGGTTAGTGGGGGCGTAAACAAGGAAGGAATTAAGTACTACAACAACCTCATCCGCAGCCTTCAAGCTGATGGTAATTACTAATTAATTATAGATTAACCTTATTTCTCCCATATCTAAATTTTTTTATTAATGCACTGTTACTTGGGTTTTACTTTCAATTCATGGTTCACTATCTTGCAGGTATAAAGCCTGTTGTGACCCTCTTCCACTGGGATCTTCCACAAGCTTTAGGGGATGAGTATGGTGGTTTCTTAGGTCCCAGCATTGTGTAAGTTATGATTTTTAGATATAAAACTTACTAAACTCAATAAGCTAATGAACTAAAACCTTACTGTTCATATTTGTTATCTTAGGGATGATTTTTGAGACTATGCAGATATTTGCTTCAGAGAATTTGGTGACATAGTGAAGTAGTGGATCACCCTTAATGACCCGTGAAGCTATAGCACTGGAGGCTATGCAACAAGCACGTTAGCACCAGGTCATTGTCCAGTTGGCAAAAACTGAACTGCAGTGGGGGGACGTTTAGGAATAGAACCATATTTGGCAGGGCACCACCTCCTCCTTGCTCATGCAGCTGCTGTAAATCTGTATAGGCTAAAATATCAGGTCAAATATGGTGAATGAAAATAAAATTCTAGGAGTTAATTAGTGAAACTTTCATGACTTTTAATGGAATATTGTACTTGTGTAATACCCGGTATTTATTTATTTATTTATTTTATAACTTTTAAATAATTTTATTTAAGCTCTTAAAGGATTTAAATGTAAGGAGAGGGAACTAAGGGGTTTAATTATAAAGGAATCAAGAGTGAAAGGACTAACCAAAGAATTATAAACACTTTTATTAAAGCCTAAATAGGGAAACGGTGCTAGGTTTGCAGAATTTCTGAAAATGCCGCTGCCCACTCCTGCAAATCAATGTTTTTGGGCCCGGCCCGGTGGTTGGCCCGTTTTGGCCACCGGGTCCAGTTGAACCAATTGAATCGGTTCACCCAACTGGTTCAACCGGTCAACTAAAAACCTCTTCTTTTTTTTTACATATTTACAATGCTGCTCTGTTTGGTGCTTCTACGCTCTGTTCGGTGAAGGAGAAACTGTTGCTGGGAAAGAGAGGAAGGCAAGGGGTTGGAGAGGGCTGTTGACGGTGGTGGTTGAGAGCAGATGCAGAATTGTAGATCTATTTTGTAGCTGTTGCTTTGTTCAGTGAAGAAGAAGCTGCTGCTGGGAAGGAGAGGAAGGCAACGAAGATGAGCTGCCAACATGATGGTGATGAGAGCAAGGAGATCGATTTGTTTCTTCTTTCAAACACAGTGCTGGTGACTAATAAGGGCAGGGAAAGTAGGTCATGTTCTGCAGCGTTTTTGGGTTGTCGAGTTTTTTTTTTTAATCTAATCTTAATTGATGTTTAATGGTTTTTAATGTAATAATATGAAAAAGTTGGGACAAAATGGGTATATTGCCTTGAAAATGGGAAAAACTTGAGTTAATTGAAGAGATGAGGTGCAGCTCGGCGGGTTCAACGGGCGAAACGGGCTAAGCGGGTGAGGCGGGCTGAACGGGTTGGAGCGTGCCAAATGTGAAAACGGGCTGAAGGATGTAACCGGCCCGTTTTCAAGTCCGGATCCGGTCAAACCGGTTGAATCGACCAGGCCGAGCCAGGTCCAAAAACATTGCTGCAAATGCCACCGCCCACTTTTTAAAACAAATAGAAAGGGGCTTCCATCCTGTAGAAGCTGGATTATTTGAATTGAGGGAATTTTAGGGTAAGTTTGTTAATTATGTGTTAGTTTTGTTCTTAAATTTAATTTACTAATTAAGAATGTAAATTGAAAAAAAAATTGAGGGAATTTTTGAGATTCTATTTTTTGTTAGATTTGATTCTAACAAAATGGTATGTGATTTGTAGATCTCTTCAATTCTAACAAAGAAAAGAAGATAGTACAAAAGTTTTAAATAATTCAGGAGGTTGTGTCGAGTAAAAAATTGATTAATTATTCAAAGTAAGTTGTTATACCCTCTAGTATTCTTTTAAAAGGTTTGTTTTATTAAAATTTATTTTACATTTTTAGTGTATTTTATATAATCTTATTTGGTTATTGTGTTTTAAAAATAAGAATATTTTATAATAAAATGAGATGAATATTGATCAAGCATTTAGAGTGTGGATTATTTTTTATTGAAGAGTGTGATTTATTAAATTGAAAATAATTTTTCTTTTAATATTGGGTTTTCATGTTCTTGGTTGGCTGGTTAAATTAACCTGTTCCTCAGGGGTATACTGAGCGTATTGATAGTAGTCCCGAGATCTATTTATCATGGAGTGTGATGTGAAGTATAATGTTATATTTGGAATGTGATGCAACCTAAAGAACTTGCAATTATTGTTGTCTTTTCATCTAGTTTGGAATGTGGCTTTCTTATTGTAAAGTTATTTACTTTATTTAATTATTAATTTCATTGAAATATAATGCTTGATCGAACTAGATGGGTATACTCTTACTGAGCTATCTAACTCATGTTTTTAAAATCTCATCTCATTTCAAGTATAAAAGAGTGAGCATTTGGGGTTGCATTTGAGAGTGAGAGGCGCAACGGTCCTAGAGTAGTTCTTTGGTTTAGTTTAAGTTATTTCTGGATTGTGGAATAATTAGAAATGAAGACTGATTTGCTATGAGTTATTGTTATGAGATTTTATGTTGGATTTTATGAAGTGAGGATCAAGTGTTTTGGATTTAACCAACTACTCCTATATATTAATAAAGATGGAGTTTTTTTTATAGAATTTAACTTTATTGCATTTGGATATTAAAAGGTTGTTTAGTTGAGGTAGCCTTACATATTTATGGAGTCATCTCTATAGATATGTGATCCCTATAGATGTGTGGCGTTTGTCATGTCTTGACCTTCGGGTTTGGGGTGTGACAACTTGCACAGCCAACACAGCATGGAACCATAGGGATCACCCTCCAGTCAAATTGGTTTGTGCCATTTTCCAATGAAACACAAGACAGAAAGG